CCCCCCCCCCCCTCTTCCTCTTCTCCCTGCTCGCGGGTTCATTGCTGGAGTGTTGTGGCATGGAATCCTCAATGTTACCGAGATGCGTGCTCAGTTATAACATATTTGTATGAAGGGAAATTATTGCGTAAAAGTTGCAAGAATAAGACGCAGAAAGGCAGCGCCGAAGCCCCGTGTAATAGTCCCACTTTCCACAGTTCCTTATTGTCGGATGGAATGATCGGGAACATTAATGCACAACCGTCCTTGGAGTTCCAACGAAGCGCATCATAATTTTGCGCTGAGGGTTCATAATTCCTCGCATCCATCTTTCTCTTTCGCTTTTAGTCCTCCCTTTTCCCTCTAGGAATATCTAGGGGACAGTAAAGAAGGATAAAAAAAAACTGTTTGCAGGAAAATGAGTTTTTTTTTAAACTTTTTTACTCATTCCATATAAAGGCAGAGAGAAGAAGTGGGAGAAGATGAGAGGAGGGGGTTGGAAGAGAAGAGTTTTGAGGATGACAGAACAAGGAATGCATTCCATTGCCGTAGCGGTACCAGTGTTCAAGCAGGTGAGACATGTACCTATTTAATGAGTTTATTTGAAATACCAAAAACGGAAAAAAAGTGGGATCTGCTACAAATTTTATGTCTTCTTAGAAAGAATTTTAAACAGTGCGAAAACTTTCTTCAGAAAAAAAAAGCATACATTGGTCAAACGGGTGAGGGCAGAGGAGAAGGCGAGGCAGGAAAAGGACAAAAGTTTCGAGTAATCCGTGCTAAACAAAGTCTTCAGACAAGTAAGGTACGGGTAAAGTTTTTCACAGCGTAAGCAAATATTAAGTTATATTTTTATAGCATTTTGCGTCAGGAATTCTTTTTTTTTTAAAGAAATCTTTTATGAAAAGTTTTTCAAAATCATCTCCTATTTTCACACTTCCCAGTTTTTCCAATTTGTTTGTATTGAGAGTATCAAGAACATCCCCACAATCGGTGTGGGTTTCTCAAACAAAGTTAAATTCGGCTAATTTGATCCCCTTGATTCTTTTTTTCTGTAGCAATTTTTTTTTCCAATTAGATTTTTAAACAGCTAAATTCGATAAATTTGCAAGCTCAATGTAGCCCAAACAACCGGTCTTTAGTTTCAGTGATACTAAAAGATCAAAATACACTTGCAGTTTCTTGAAAGAGGTGGCCAGAACAAAAACTGGCAAAAAAGCGCTGTGTGCTGTTAAAGACTGATACCAATCAATCAAAGCAGCTACAGCCAAGACGGCTTGTGGATTTTTTTTGCCTGCCTTGTGGGAAATTATTTTGAAAATTGAGGGAAACTAAGAAAAGTGCGCATTTTCAAACCACTGGGAATTGTTCGTTAACCAGTTTAAGGGAATTACGAAAGCTGAAATCCATTTATACATTTCTTCTGCTGTACGAAAAAAAAGGCTAGATTCACGAAGCTAGCTCGATGGGGATCCAATTTTCTAGCAGTTACTGCTGGAATATGTCAGTGCCAAAATTGCCATCGAAACAAATGAACGAAATGTAGAGGGAGTGGTTGTCCCACCGGTGAAGTTCGTTTCCGACTGCTTCCCAATCCACCATGTCTGCGGCTTTTCGGTACCATGCGTGTATCTCGACTTTTTTATCGAACTCTTGCTGTGTAATTCTCTTCTTTCTCGGCCAGTAACGGTCGAGAAATTTTGCTGGTCACTTATGAGCCAGGATCGTCTAAACTGTGTACTTTGAGTTACGTTGCGTAGAACTGGTCATTCGTGCTAAATGCGTTTGCGCTCTTGCATTGCAACTTGTAACAGGCAAAGAGTACTAACCTGAGATGTGCAGCCTAGGATCAAAGAGTTACTCATACTTATTGTCTGGGCGATCTTGGATATTCCTGATGTAGTTTAGATCGAACACTGATATGAGGAGGTACCAAAAAACACTAGTAGTCGGGTGGCTCAGAACGCTGACATTTTGTTCTCTTAAATATAATCTATCGATCTAATCGATAATTAAACACACCTCTCTAATAATTTGAAATCGCTAGAACCTTGTTAAATAACTTCTGGTGGAACTGGTAGGACAAGATGGGCGTCAGAATCGCCAAAGGACTGACCCACTAGACGATGCAGCATTGGTCAAAGGAACTGAAAAAGTAGCCGGCCACATGGTTAAATAAACAGCTAATCAAAATATCATAGCAAGGTTTGATTGGTACCATACATCGAAAGCTTGGCCTGAGCAGATGGTAATAAAGAAACTGCGGGCCAAGACATTTGCAATACGAGTGGTGACACTGGCTGCGCCCCTGTGAGAACTATCGATCTTGCAAAAATGGTACCTCGGCAACTGCTTTGACAAGGGATTTGCGCTCTTTCCTGGCATCAATGCGAGTCACGTTGGCTTCCTCTCTCCCTTCGATAAACGCTTTCTCTTCCAGCTCATCAGTAAATAGATTCAAATCAAAACCTGAAATTCGACTCTGGCTAAAAGTAATCCTTATCAAAAGCCAAATTCCAGAAAAGTCGTTCAAGTATGCTACACATGTCTGTGAGTAATTAGCTGATGGCGTGAGGGCCTAGCACAGATACGCAGAGTAAATGTGTTTCTAAAGACACCGAAACTTTTAAGCCGATGGCACTAAGATTTTTAATGGTACTAATAATCGACGAACTACGAAAAAATCATTCAGTCGGAGAAATGTGAAATTTTGGAATTCTAAGACATATTTCGATATGATTCTGAAAAATAAGATAATCTGCTCCATCATTTCTGCTCTCAGTTTTCGGAAAGGAATCACGACCCTGTATGAAAATTTCTTAATGCTTCTAATGATAGTTAAGTCGCTGCAGCCAGTGAGAAATATGAACCTTTGTGTTGCTTCTGATCAGTCGAGCCAATAATCAGTGCTGATAGGAGTTGTAATTCATCCCCAGGTGGTGGATTTTCGTCTTTTCTTGTCAGATTACTGCCACCTCTAACCTGAAAATTGAATTAGAAACTACTAAAGTGTTGAGTATTTCTTTAAAATTGAGTTTACTATGTTTATTTTAATTTTATGTATTTTTTGACGACCTTTCTTCGTTTTTAAAAAAATAATTACCATTTTCAGTAATGCTGGTGGTTTTCCCGAAACATCGCCAAATAAATACAAAAAAATGAAAAAAACAATAAATGTATTGCATGTTTTGAAGGCATTTCAAAAGTTTCAAATAACACCATTTCAGTGAAAAATATAGGAAGTTTCTTCTGCACATCTGTGAATTTTACATTCTTTTTATTTGTAAAATTCTTTGCAAAAACTTTCGGTTTAAAAATAATGCGAAAATCTAGAGTTTTTATAGCTTTATTCGCAAAATTCTTGACTCGCTTTAATTTTTTTCGCAAAATTCTTGGCTCGCTTCAATTTTTTTCGCAAAATATTAATTATTTTAACAAATACATATATTTTACGTTTCTTTTAACCACTGAAAACTGATGTTTCCGTTGGATTCTTCTGCATAAATCTTATATGGATTTTTTCACGTGCATTAAAACCAACGCATTTCCGAGATGCTTTTGAATTTTACAGCTCCTTTCCTTTGACTTTAAAAATTAGCATAGTTGAAAATACTTAGCTTTAAAAATTTACTTTTACACTTTCTGCTGTCGTGTACATGTTGTTACCAAGTGTTGTACCTCGATTATCAGCTGTCAGTTGTACGTTTCCCTAAAAATTAGTAATTCTAGCGGAAGTAGAAAAACAAACATTTTCTGCTAAATTCATCAGGATTAGTTAATTGAATTTTTATCAGTCCCATGTATTTTTTGAACTGACCTGCGCTTGATCCTATGAGCACCTTCGTAGCAGTATTAGCGAGGATTCCCAGACCGATTTTCTGGGAAGCCTTGACGTGAACGGAGCTCTTTCTGAACAGGGAGGGAATTGAACCACAGTTTTTCGCATCCGGACACATGTTACCACTACACCACCGGTCCTTGTGCTCCAAGTCCAGCATGGCAGTACATCTACTGCGTGTGTGCCTTTCAAGGCAAGATGCACCTTTCTATTCTTTTGTGCTTCTTATAAGCAGTTCCCATCTTTTTCTTGTGGCGGCTTCTTAGCCGCCTTTTCGCGGGCTTTCCGCAGCAGATCTTGGTATACAGAACTAAACTGCAGCACTTTACCCTGGAAGAGCACGGAATATACTCGATGGCTTCATCACCGGTAGGAAATGTTTCACTGCGCACAGCTTCACCGTTTTCAAAATATCTGGTGCATCCGGGAGCATTGCCATTGAAGGGCAAGTCATATCTTGGATCCGGAAATAAAATAAACCGACCTTCATCCGTCTGTTTATTTTCGCGTAGCAGTAGCGACACTTTTACTCGTGCATCCTGGAAAAAGTCCACAAATTTTTTTGCTGAATTGCCAAGGAAGCATGGCCACTACACATTGGAAGCTCTCAGCAGTAAGATATATTTTAGTAAGATATCTTATTTTTTTAGGAACATAACCATTATTATTCTCATCCTTGTTATTATTATCGTTATCATTTTTATTATTACAATCGTAAAGGATTACAACAAAAATCCACCAAAATATTTTTCAACGTTTCTTTCTAAACTGCAAAACTATTCGGATTTTTATGGGAAATCTGAAACTTCGGCTTTCAGAGCAGGCTATTTCTAAGTTTTGTGTCTTAAAGCTTTTTTTGCGGAAGCTCCATTCAAACAGCAAGAAATCAGTTTTTTCATTGGAGAATTCTCGTTACCTGAAAAAAATTTAGCATGCAACTTCGAATCATTGCCTGCTCCCAAAGCGGCATTTCATGATACGTTACGATTACCTGAAACTTTTTTGTAAAGGTGACTTTTATGGCCAGATGATATTAATGAATACCACATCTACTTCAAATAAGCTAACAATTTTGGCGCACTGGTAAAGAACATTGCTCTTGTTCGGAAAGTCAAAGTTTGTTTTGCTAGTGCGGCTACCAGCCTCTCTACAACTCACTCATTCGCTCTGACGGTAAATAATAATGGCATATGCCGAAAAGTCAAGCCGACCATCAGGGCTTACTTCTAAGCAATCTTCAAAAACGAGAGTAAGCCTTGTCACCAGATAACTACTGTAAATGACCGCTACCATCCAGATTATTCCAAATGCCTTTGCATCTTGCAAAAAGTAAATGGGAAAAAAATTTTCAAGTTTCGACCTTGATTTCAAAAAAATCCACCTGTCTGATTTCATTAATTAGATTTCGGCTTATTTAGATAAGATGGAAATTACTCACTCAAAATTATTGCATGACTATTTTTTAAATAAAAACTTCAAACTACTGTCTTTAGACATGATTCTGTTTGTTTTGAAAAATGCCCATCGGCTGGAATTTTTCAAAATTTTCTTAAATTTGAAAAATTTTGCGAACCAGCTGATGCGCAACATCTAAAAGCTGCTGTAGTATTTCATCGTTAGGCAAAATTTTGCGGACACAGTCCAAATGATTAAGAGTGATCAGCACGATATGTTCTGGACCAGTGCATAGCTGTAGCTGATATTTATAGGCCATTGTCATCAAATCGTATAATTTATCCATGCTAAAGTATTTTTGTCATTTTCCTTCAGTGATGCAGTTGGACTTTTGATAAATGTTAAAAACCAGAACAGTTTTTTTCACTGATTCCAAACTAATCACACTGCGAATGGGTGATTAAGAATAAGTGATTTAGAATTACTGCAAGACTTTAAAGATTTTTTTTGCCTGTACGACAAAAAAGCAGTTGATGTGCGAGCTTAGAAAATCATTAAAAAAATTGAAAAGCTATCGACAGCACTGCAAGCAGCTGGTTGTGTTGACATTTGCTACAGCGCGGGCTACTTTCCTAATTCTTCCGCCTTTCACAAATAGCAAATACGAAGAGAATTTTGAAATAAAAAAATAAGACTGAAAATCGAAATTTCCTGATTTCGTGCATATACCTTGTTTCATTAAGTCGCATAATGCTTGAATGCGCAAGTTTCTCGAAGAACATCCGTGTTGTGCGCCTCGAATAGACATGCTGCGGCTTGAATAACTCTTCCAGAAACTTTGTATTAAACATCATATGCAGGATATCCGTTAATACACGTATTGTTTTTTCTTTGCTCACGTTTTGGGCCTTGAAATAATATTTAAAATTGTGATAGAAACCATTTATATTCGCCTTTTTCATATTTAATAACCAGGCTGGAACGCACCACGCTCTCCGGTGCGATCATGCATTTTTGCACCAAAGTCGCAGATCGCTTTTAGCATAAATGATCCCGACGCTGTAGCCTAACACCTGGGTTCATATTGGCCGTACTTTGGCCGCTTCCGGCATGCAGGAGGAAGGGCGTCAGTTGGGGCGAAGGTGGTGCATTATAGAGCCGCACAGACATCCAGGTGCACGATTACCGGTTTTATGCATGAAGTTCGGTCGTTTTTTCGGTAAATGCTAGCTTTGTGAAAAATGATAAATGCAAATCTTTTGAAAAAACGCAAATTTCCAGTTCACTAAAAAGTGGAAGTATTGCTCGAGCGGTCGTTTGTCAAAAAATCTACATTCATTTACATATACGACTGCGGTTCAGGTCCGAGTTGCTAACGATTTTTGGGTTGGGGAGCTGCTTGAGATCGTGGTTGGGGAGCTGGAGAGCTGAGTTTAAAATTTTTATCTCGCGCGTGTGTAGAGAATATCCCTGCAAATTTTCAGCTTCCTATGTTGCCTAGTTCGCGAAGTCGGTTCCCGCCAACATATTTCTTTGGGGGTCGCGGACGCTGGGTCTAGACGCGTGGGAAAAGATCATAAAGCGAGAGGATGACACACGGGGTAGGAACATGTATCTAAAGTATCGGCCTCTCAGCTTTCCTCGTTGCTGAGATGAAAGTGGGTGACAAAATGCACTCGCTTTCCGAACACACACACACACCAACACATACAGACAGCATCTCGACAATAGGCGTTTTTGCTGGCTGTAGTAGTGTTATAGCGCTGCACAGCAAAAACGCATAAAAACCGGTGAACGTTGTGAATTAGTGGTGATACCCATGAGAAAGCGAACGAGCACTAGATTAGTTACAAACAAACAGTGGGTACCAAGCAGACATAAGCAGCGCTGAACCGAAAAGTCCGGCTTAGCTGCGTTCGTTGTGCTGCAGCATTCCAGTAACATCACTAGCAAACATACCAATTGTCCAGGAAGTCAGAATTTTTTTTTTTTGGTGTATTTAATAAAAAGATTTTTTATACTTAGCGAAAACTAAAACTAATTTTTTATATTTAACACACTTTTATTTCGCTGACTCATTTTATTGACCGATGCTAATCGCACCGTTTTTTTGAAGTGCTTCTGATGGACAAGTAGCTCTTGCTCAACACTTATTAAACTTTTATTTGTATGTTAAGTTAGATGATACAGTAGCAGGTTTTAATACTGATTATATAAATAATCTGTTTTGGCTGCTTCACACTTTGCAAATTTTTACTTCAACTCGCTGGTGATAAAAAGGTCTTGTTGTTCCGATTTTTTACTGTACCTGTAATCGTTGTTGTAATATGTAAGCCATTTCACCGCCCATATTCAGAAACAACAGCGGCATGCATTTCGTCGACATGCTCTAGAACTATTCAGAATTTTTGCAAAATTTTTTATGCAACACAGTTTTACGTTGACAGCTACAGCGCAGTGGCATGCATAACAACTGCCATACAGAAGATTGAGGGTTCAGTTTCATCGCCAGAACAACTGGTCCTTCTATGACTCATTCATTCGCTTCGACGGCAAACTGGTATTGGCAAACGTCAGGGATTCAAATAAACCGTCAGCTTGCTTCTAAGTAACCTTCGAAAGAAAAAGTTGTCGTCAGCCTTGCAAGAGAATGGCCTTTATTGGGAGGTGCAATCGTCCGAACTAATTCCCAGTGTTTCCTGTCCTCACAAAAACAGAACGCAGAGAGGATTATTCACACTTTGATAATAAGCACGCATATAAGTAAGAGAAAGCGCCAGGCAGGGTAGGAAACATTTCTTATTACGAGTTAAAAATATCAGGACATCTAGTAAAAAATGATTTTATTTGAGCAGAGAAATTTTCAGGCGAGCTGCAAAAATTTTGAAAAAGCCATAAATTTTCGGCGAACTGTAAATTTTCCTGCTCTAGGTAATTCAGAGAATCCTTATGATGAACAGAGTCATCTCTTATGCGTATTATACTTTCGAACAATGTGCGGCTGCAGTAGATTATCGCAAAAATGCGTTTTGAGCTCGCCGCGCACCATATTTATTGAAGTCCAGCACAAAAATAAAAGATTTTAGAAGCGACTTTTAAATAAAGAAAAAAGAAATTGTTCATGAGGAAAAAATCGTCTTTTTGTGGCTGTACTGAATGAGGAAAACGTTTGGTAGTTAGCCATTGTTTCCATGGTGACCACAAAGTGTTATCGCTAATATCATCAACAAAAACGACGGACTTTTAAAGTCTGTGGAACAAATAGGCTTCCTGTGTTCAAATATCTTTATAACAACAAAAATTTATCATTGCAAAAGAAGGAAACTGATCAAATTAGCAGCAATACTCAACAGCTAAGTAAATTATTAAGCAAAAATTAAGTAAAAAATACAACGACAAAATAAAAATAGGAAAAAAAACAGAAAAGGGTATGCAATAACAAATCAAAGGCAAGTCAGAAAAGCGTGCGAAGGTTCAATTAAAACAGTTGTAACTGTCTGAACTGAGGCGCATTGAGAAAAAATTTTAAATAAAAATCCAAAAAAAATCAAAAAAAAACTAAAAGCAGTTTCAAAAAACGCTAATGAGAAAACTGCAACAAAAAATGAAATTTGGCAAAGGGTCTATTAAAAATGGTTCTATTAAAAATGGTAACTTTAACGAATAGCAGTTAAAACAAAGCAAATAAAAAGTGAAAAATCGAACTGATAAGTAAAAAATTGATTGTCTCGAAGGAATGCATAACAGTCTGATTAATTTCAGGTAGCAGCAAACAACAGCTGTGGAAATGATGCACGTGTACGGTATTCGTTGGCCGGGAAAGGTGCGCTCAAAGATAAGCTCTTTCACGTGGATGATCAGTCTGGTACAGTCTGCTTAAAATCAGTACTCGATTATGAGGAAAGTACCATATATCAGTTGCATATCTATGCGCATGATATGAGTTAGTTTTTTTCCCCCTCCCTTTTGTTTTTTCTGATTGCCTTCGATCCTGAAGGAGCTGTCAGGTCCTTCGATCCTGATGAAGCTGCATATTTAAAATTAGTGTCCACCGGCTGTTCGATGTATATGCTCTCTTTTTTCAAGGACGCCCGAATGGTCATTTAATGCATATTTCCAGTTACATATGTAATTCATGTCTGAGCTAATGTATGTATGACACATTTGCACCGGATGCGAAAACATTTTAGTAATTTCACTAACATGGGATGCCTACACCGATTGTTCCCGATTAGTTTTGGTCCTTGCCTCACTAGACTTGTATTTTGACGGGCAGTGCTTGTGGCCCAAATTTCTCTTGAATAGACCAACGGTTAGCCTATTGATCATATGAATGAAGCTTTTTGAATGCGCATAAATTGCGCAAATTGACTTATTTGCTCCGAGAATAAAATTCATTCCATTTATATTTCTATTATGATTCAATTACGGGACAATGGGGTCCACGGTGAACGTAAAATTGCGATATTGGCTGGCTGCATCTGTCTTCCCTGAAATGTCAAATTTTTCGAATTTCCAGGGATCGAGTATAACTGTAACTGAAAACTGAGAAAACTTTTGGTACCTTAATTTTAAGCCCTGAATTTTTCGATTTTCTAGAAATTTCTTTGGGATATCATTGTATGTGCATGCATTTGTATGTTTATGCGTGTGTATTTGTCAGTGTGTCCAAAAATTACGATATCCGAATCAACGTCATGATGGCCTGGGAAGCTGAAATTTTCGCAACTTGGTGTTTTTTGGTTTGAAGAAATGAAAGTAAATTACAAAAAGTGCGAATACACAGACACACACACATAAACAGCCTCCTACCAAAATGCGTTTTTATGCGTTTTTGCTGTGCAGCGCTATAGCGTTGCTATAGCGCTGCTACAGCCAGCAAAAA